AGAGTTTTTAACTTGTTATGCATATATGGTCAGCATATGTAAATGGATTGATATCTAACGTTTTAAGTTCATAATTAGGTATCTATTTTGCATCCATCTTGGGATTATGTGGAGGAGACTTGCAAAAATTTAATTTGGCAAGATATTTTGGTGAGTTTTGTTAACTCGTTAAATTATGTTAAGTTAAGTTAGATCCTAAACTTTGTTATCCTAATTTATTTTGTTGTTTTTGCAGAATCACTTTGATATTGTTAACTCTGAACAAGTTAGGAGAAAAGTCATGTCATCTATTGCCAAAATGTGGAGGCAATTCAAGTCGACATTGACTTCAAAATGGATTTTTAATGACCAAGCCATTAGCAAAGGATTAACTCCTTGTCAACGTTATGGCATAGATGAGGAAACTTGGAAGTAGTTTGTCAGGAGTAGGACTGGTCCACAATGGGAGGTATGTTACTATTTAAAAACTTTGGTATGTTTCCATATTGTCTTATTAATTTCGCACATTGTAATATGATATTATGTTGCAGGAGAAGCGAATAAAAGGAAAGGAGATTCAGAAGGCTGAATGTGGCCCCCAGCTGTCTGTCTCGTGGGGGTATGATTTGTTGACGCAACGCATGATGAAGGAGAAGGCTAAACTCGAGAAGCTGAGTTAGCCTCTTCTGGTGTAAGCCAGGAAGAAATTTCCCCACCATCTCCTCCAAAACGTCATGAAAAATGGAAGAGGGCTCGGCAAAAGCCCTCCGGTGAAATGACATCAGAGGAGGCCCGCTGATTGCCTGAGCGGATTGTAAGTCAAATTAGTTTCTTTCAACCTCATTAACCATGCTTTGTCATTCATCAATTTTTTTTACAATATATAATGCTCAATTGTAGGATTCTTTAGAGGAGCAGTATCACAGGGAACATTCGTTCCCGTGGTCGTGAAGATATATTAACTCCTGCTATTGGACGCCCAGAACACCCAGGGCGTGTTCGATGCTGTTGAAGCTGGTGTGGGTATTCGAGCATATTTTGGAGCTCCATCATCAGACCATACCCACACCACATCATTGAGCCAGCAGGAGATGGCCAGATTGGAGGAGAGTCTAACAGCGAAGCTGAGACCAGCGATGGTTGAAGAGCTGACAGCGACGCTGACACCAGCCATTACCGCACGAGTTCAGGAGGAGATGATGCGTGTATTTGGTTCAAGTCTAGCATCCATAGGTGTCACACAGCCTACCCACCCACCTATGGATGTTCCTCCTCCATCTGCCGCACGAGTTAGCACTAAGGGTAGTTGTGCTGAGCCAAATACTGCTGATCAAGACCTTCCTGCTACTAATCAGGAGGTTGTTGTTGTTGTTGCAGACACTGACCACTCAGGTATGTGTGGATGATATCTTAATGACAAAAATTCATGTGCATATTAAGTAATTAATGTCTTATTTTTGTGTAATCAGGTCAGTGTGAATTTTATGTTGATGAGGATGGATCTGAACCACGATTGGTGGCGGTTGGTTCAATTGAAGAGGGGTCCTCTACAATTCATAGTGTGCCTTTAGCACCTAACTTGGCCAAAGTGGTCATTGAAGAGGTTCGAGATGCTTATGCTCTTGTACCTGTGCCCACAGACGAGGTGATGACAGTGGGACAGGCCCTCCAGACCTTCATTGCATGGCCTATTTTGAAAAAGGTTTGCATATACTTTCTGATAATTATCATATGTAGTCTGGTACTGTTTTTTATTATTTCTCAAGTCAATGTTATTTTATGTAGGATGTTCAGAAGCCACCCTAGTTGCCTAAACTGGTTCCTACTTCCCATACTAGTAAAGATAAGGAAGTAGATGTCCCAGAAAATCCAATTTTTCAACTACTATCTGTTGTCCCACAATTGTATATTCAATCTTTTCAAGTGAAGTGGGATGTTGATAAGTTAGGGGTAGACAATAAGAACTTTCCCCTTTACATTGACCACACCGATGCTATGGAGATAGCAGGTGGCAATCAGTGTCTAAACATAGCAGTGTTACAATTTTGGACAATGTAAGTATTTATTTTTATTTACTAATTATGTTATTTGAAGTTATCGTCATATTTAATGTACATTGAACTGGCTACTTTAGGATGATGAATGAATTGTCGGAGGAACAACGCACCCAAGATGTGTATGGATTTTTTGAGCCCCAATCCATACAAAAATCAGGAAACAAGAGAGAAGAAGTTCAAATATACATCCAAAATTGGATGATGAAGTCAAGGAAGAAAGTTTACTTGGGTGCTTACCACCATCAGTAAGTATTTAAGCGTATGAAATTATTCGCATTAAATTTTATAGTGTATTGTATTATCCTAACTTTTTGTAATGTAAGCAGAAATCATTGGCAGTTGTTGGTTGTTTGCCCAAAGCAGAATGTTGTGGCTTGGTTCTGCTCACTGGGCAAGAAACCTGATGCATATCTTAAAAACATTGTAAACAGGTACACATTCTTATAATAATTTAAACAATTATTAATTGTTTTGTTACTTAATTGTTTCATTATATCTTGTATTGCACAGTGCATTTAAGGTTTGCAATACAATTGATGGAGTACACACAAGCAAAAGCACGACTCCAGATTGGATTTTTGTTAATGTAAGTCATTTTATATTTATGTATTATATCATTCATTTTATATGTCAAATTAATATATTATTTTTTGTAGTGTAATAGGCAACCAGGATCTTATGAGTGCGGATATTATGTTATGCACTGGATGTGGCTGATTGTTGTTAGCAAGACTGAGGATACATGGAATCAGGTTTGCTTAAATTTAGTATTCAATAAAAGACCCAGTATTGTGTCATTGGATACTCTGTTAAATTATCTTTTTTCTTGTAACAGGTATTTTCAGACAGGGAAGCATTGCCCATAGAGACCATTGACGATATTAGAAACACATGGGCCGATAAGTTTGTTAAAGTTAGAAGTAGGCAAGTTTAGTTATTAATTTAGTAGTTAGTTTAGTAGTTAGTTTAGTAGTTAGTTTAGTAGTTAGTTTAGTAGTTAGTTTAGTTACTTTACTAGTTAGTTTACTAGTTAGTTTATTAGTTAGATTAGTAGTTAGTGTATTTGGTAGATAAGTAGTTGGATACACTATAATTTTGGATACAATTTTATTTTTGGATGCACATTCAATTGTTTATATCTTGTACATTGTTCTCCTGGGTTGTATTCAAATTTGCAGGTATGTATATATACAAACATTGGGTACCCTGTATAAACAAAGCGTCCATTTAAAAAAAAAATAGACTTTCTACGCTCGGTTCATACCATAACCGACGTAGTAAACACGTACTTGCTTGAGCGACGAAAGCTTCAAACAAAGGGGACTCTCGGGTTCCATCTCGCTTGAGCGACGAGTGTACTCGCTTAAGCGACGAAAGCTTCAAACAAAGGGGACTCTCGGGTTCCATTTCGCTTGAGCGACGAGTGTACTCGCTTGAGCGACGAGTATACACTTTTCAACGTCGGGTATGAATAACCGACGTTGAAAGCCTAAACTTTCAACGTCGGTTATCTATACCCGACGTTGAAAGTGTATACTTTCAACGTCGCCTGATACAACGTCGGTTGTATAACCGACGTTGAAAGCCTTATATAACCAACGTTGAAAGACATATCCGTAGCAGTGCATGATTCACTAGGAAGTGTCAGGTTAGTATTTTAAAATTATTTTATTGTATTATAGAACCTTCTTGCTCTTCTATTTTATAGAATTTACATAACACTAAATATTTATGACGGTTATATATATATATAATGTAGACATTTGTGAGAACAAAACTTTGTGAGTTGTGTAAATATTATAATTAGGGTTGAGTCATAAACAATTATTCAAAGTGTAGAAAAAACTCAAGGTTTATATTTTTTTTTTCTAAAACATGTTCTATTGTGTTACCAGCCATGTTGTAGGAGTCATGAGAGGGTATATATATATATATATATATATATATATATATATATATATATATATATATATATCAAACTTATTTTACTCTCATTTTTCATTTTCATTCCCCTTATTTCTCTTACAGTATTCTTAGTATTTATGTTTCTGTCCAAAAAATTGTGTCCCGTGATATTCACATAAATATATATAAATTTTCAACTAAAATTAAAAAGAGTGTAAAAATTAAAATTACAAAACAAACAACAAATTAAAATAAAAAAAAGGTATAAAAAACCAGAACTATAATTTTTTTTACCAACCGTCATCGTTTGAAATAGAAAGGATTAATATGAAGCATAGAGGATAAGAAAGAAGGAGAAAAACAAAAGAAGAATCGTCATGGGAATAGCTATAACTAGAATGTAACACGTGCAGATCATTGGACAGTGGTAACCTAGTAGAAACAAGTGTCGTGCATGCTGCATTCCACGTTACAACGTCGCTATAGACTCGCACACCGCATGGTTCTTTATCTTTCTTGCATCAAATTAGGATCATACACTCTTCAACGCGACATCCATTTGCTTCGTCTCTTTCATAGCCTACGGCAACGCTTCATCGTTTTTAACCAAAACTTTCCTCTCTCTCTAACACCTATCTTCTTAGACCATTTTGTCTTTTCTTTTCCCCCTTAACTTCTATTCTCTTCAAGTCTTCTTCATCTTCACCACCCTTCTTGTAAGTGGCTATGTGATCTCTATGTCCATTATATTGCTCGAATTGTATCGACTTCTCTGTTACTTATTTGCACTGTCTATATGTGATCAATTCAGAAATCACTTTAAATTTCATTTACCTCCATTGATTGCATGCATTATACAGTTTAATGTGTTAGTTTTACTTCACTAATTAATAGATCTACAGCAAAATATATCATCACCTTAAGAACAATATATACTTTAAATTGTTCTTCTTATTATTGTGATCATTATCGATGATGTCATGCTGTGACTCATGATTGTAACATCTTTGTTTAATTTTGTTACTATGTAGGAAGTGAATAAAGAACAGTGAAAGGAAAATGTCTGGTGTGTCTCTAGCAGTGTCTCGTCCACCAGCATCGATGGGAGAACAAAAGGCGCCTTCAGCAGGCACACAGTCTAAACATGGAGCAGAAGAGGCACCAGTTGGTGGCATGATGGGTTCACTACGCATGATCGAGCTTCAACTGGTGGCTTTTATATTGGTGTTCTCAGCAAGTGGCCTTGTCCCACTCCTTGACCTAGTTTTCCCTGCGCTTGCCTCTGCTTACATTTTGGCACTCTCACGATTTGCCTTTCCATCAAATTCGTCATCATCCAATTCATCTGGGTCGGGGACTGAGCTCTTCAGAGGGAGCAGAATGTTCCGAATGTATGTGGTTCTTGGAACCACAGTGGGGTTATTCTTGCCACTGGCTTATGTGCTTGGAGGGTTTGCAAGAGGGGATGAGCATGCTGTGCGTTCGGCCACCCCTCACTTGTTCTTGCTATCCTTTCAGATATTGTCTGAGAACATCATTGGTGGGTTGTCTTTGTTTTCACCACCTGTGAGGGCCATGGTGCCCATGATCTACACAATCCGGAGGATCTTTGTGGATATTGATTGGATTCATGATGTATGGCTGAACAAGACTTTGCCTGTCAATGTCCGGTTTCAGGTAAATTTCTTGCAACAAATTACGAGAACATGCCAAGCCGATCTAACTTGGGATGGATTTTATTAGATAAAGTCAAAAATTAAAATTGTAATGAAATGAAATATTAGTTTAATCAGAAATTATCTGTGAGATGACTTTGAAGGTATTTGATGATTTATACAAAAAGTAACATTTTTTTCTTGAGGATTGAAACTTAAAATGGGGGCAATAGTTAACCCTTTCATTTGTTATCAAGTCAGACTCATCTGGATTTATCTTTTTCCAAATTGAAGAGTTGTGTATAAGGGCGGGTTTGTTTTCAAGTTCTTCACTTTTCAAATTGAGATATAGATAATTACTTCAAGTTCAACATGGGGTGCGCATCTTAACCAGTTGGAACGGAACAGTTTTGAAACTGAATTAAGCCAAACTGGTTTAGAACAAAACCATTTATTAAAATATTAACTGAACCACTTTTTAAAACCAGTCAATTTTGACCGAACAGGTTAGAACAGAACCGAACCGGTTATAATAAAATTAACCGTTTTTTTCCCAGTTTGTTTAAAAAAAAGTATTACTTCTAGTAGACCAATGGTTTTCAGATTACATCTTGAGTGATGGTGGTTTGGTTTCATGATGTTATATTATTGCTAAATTAATGTCATTTGTGTGCATTATTTGAAACTCAATGAACATTTGGTTGAATGTAAACCAGACGTAGCCAAAAGTTGCAGTTTTGGTTGCACTGCAACTACATGGTTCGGTTTATATCAGCTCTTAGAACCTGTATGCATTTTTGGATCAAGAGCCAAACTTGTTTAAACCATATGGTTTGGTTTAGGATTTAGGGATGACGAATGACATGCAACTGTTGCAATGCATGCAGGACATGGCATGGTATTGGTTCGGGAAGGTTCTGGCAGTGGCTAATCTGGCTTATTTCTCCATGAATCTGTTTGCATTCTTGATTCCCAGCTTCCTTCCAAGAGCTTTTGAGAGGTATTTCGCAGACAAGGGAGAGATCTGTGCTAAGTCAGCAGAGGACAAGCGATCTGCAGTTCTCAACAAATCCCAATTACCAGAAAAGAAGACAGATTAAGAGCTAGCTATAGCCAATCTCACTGCACTTGCAATTTTAAACACCTCAGCATTTTTCTTTTTCTTAGAAAATGGTTGACTGTGTATGATGTGATACGTTAAGGGAACTATATGTGGTGTTTTGTAAATTTTATGCATTATATACGTGTTAATCCTGATTTGGAAATCTTCTTGGGATTTGGAAATCTTCTTGACTCTTATCCCCCTTGTTCAATAATAACAATAACCATCTAAAAATCTCAACTTTGAATGATATCTTTCTTATACACGGAACAAATCCAAATACAAGAGTGGGAAAAGAAGGTTTTGTTAATAGAAGGCGTTTTGTTTTGTTAAGTAACTCATCCACTCCCTCAATGATGAGAGAATTTAACTATTAAGTGTTTTCTTAGGGAAGAGCTAAAGCATTTTGTTTTGTAAGAGGAGAGTACCTTCTATTGCATGTTCATTGTTTATATTTTATTTACTAGTTTTGATATTTTTTTTAGCATATTATTAAATGCAGTAACCTTAATTCTATTATTCCTGATAATGGTATAAATATTTATTTTATTCTTATTCTATTGAGTATGCAAGTACTGTTATAATGGTGCTTTTGATTTTCTTTTATGACGAAAAAGGATGCTGTCGAAGGAATCATCCACGGATACATTGTATCTTCTAGACAAAGTGGATGGAGTATTGAAACATTATAATGCGTCCACTATACTCAACTTTATAATATGTTATGATTGATTTTCTATAATTTTAAGGCATTGTTCTTCAATGGGTGAAATAGCTTGTTAATAATCAATAGTTGATAATTGTTGAAAAAATTTTATGATCTGTTTGGATAAAGATATATATTTTTTAATCTATTTGGATAAAAATAATGTTTTTTTAATATATTTGGACGAAGATATTATTTTTTTATACAAAGGAGTTGAAATTTGGACTTTTTTTCTATATATAATTCACAACAAAATGTTTTTTTTTTCTACATCTTAATACAAATTCATTAAGATTATTAAGACTGTATAAGATGTTATTTTGATTTTTTTCTCTATGACGTTAAAATCATATACTCACCTTCACACTAATTCTTCAAATTCTTTACTTTTTTTTTAAGGAAAACATTGTTCTCGTTCTTGTCTTCATCTTGTTGGATGACCAAAATTATCACGTTTAGGCCCATGTCTTGAAGTTTGTGTTCAAATCCAAGAATAAGCTAAAATTTGTCAATGAAACTCTCTCTGAATCATCATCAACCAACCCTCTTTACGAATTTTGAAATTGTTATAATGCAATGGTTCTTTCTTGGATCCAATTATTCGTGCATGAATCCATTATTAAATCCACTCTCTGAATTGAACGCACCTCTAACATTTTGTAAGATTTGTATCATTGCTTTCATCAAGACGATATTTTTCGTATTGTTGATTTATAGGAAGATTTATACAAACTACACCAAGGTACTCGCTTTGTAACTGAATTTTACACTGAGTTACATACTCTTTGGGAGAAAATCGATAGTCTTTATGATGCTATTGATTTTGTCTGACGCTACAAGCAGCAAGATCATGTCATTCGATTTCTAAAACGCCTCAATGATTAGTATGCTTCTATATGATCTCAAATTATGTTAATTGATCATCTTCCCAAAATTACCAAGTCTTTCACATGGTTATCCAACAAGAACATCAACTACATTTTATGCTTAGTTCTCCTAAAACTATTCTTTATTTACAAGCCCTCATTGTTACTACTACTATGAGTTTACAGTCCAAGAATGATGGTGTTTCTAACTCAGAATATTTTCTATAGAGGAAGAGGCAGAGGTCATTCCTTTACAAGAAGTTGTGGCAAAAATAATGGAGGAAGAAGTTCCCTGGTAATAAAGTTTGCACTTATTGCGAAAGCACAAATCACACAATGGATACGTGTTATTTCAAACATGGTTTTCCACCAAGATATCTTGGTCAATAACACCGTCCATCTTTGATGTTTTTCCTTTTGATCCTATTACTACCAATGTCTTCAACATTTACGAGATCTCACAATCAGTACCTAATATTACTAAGGAGCAGCATCATGACATTCTAACTCTTTTGCAACAATTTAAATCCCTTACTGATACAATAAATTTGTGTGAGAATGTGAGAAGAGAAGTTCCATATCAGGGAAATTATATGTTAATGCTTACTTTTTCCTGTTATAAAAGGAGCACCATGTTTACCTTGGAAATCACCCCAAATCTCTTCTTTCTTTTTTCTAGTAGTGCATTGCATAGTAGTTGAGTTCTCTTATTTCTGAGAGAGAATATTATTACTATTTTCTCCTTAGATTTAAAGAGGGTATTGTAATTTCTTCTGGTAGTAAAATTCTATTATTGCCTATTATCTGTTTTGTTCCTCTTTTCTCATATTTTATTTTAGTTGTGAGTTCTTATGCAGTTAATCTTATTCCTAACAATTTGGTATTCACTCCTTCGATGGATTATTCTTCCAATCTTCCTAAACATCCTTCTGTTCTTCTAGGTAAACATCTCCTTAGTGACTTCTGGATACATATGTCACTGATCATATAACTTTTGATTTTCATAGTTTTGTCACTCATAAATCTATTTCACCTATTTGTATTACTTGCCAAATGTTGTCCAAGTTTTCATTTTTATATCTGATACTGTGATGTTGTTAGATTCCTTGATTCTTCATGATGTTCTTTACATACCCAATTTTCATGTTAATCTAGTATCTGTTCAAAAATTGATCCAAATTGTGCACTGTCATCTTCTCTTTGAGTCTAACTCTTGTGTTATTTTGCAGCAAACCTCTCAGAGAATTATTGGATTAGCTAGCTTGCACTAAGTGTTGAACATTCAAGGACTTGATGCTGCACTTGATAGACATGAAGATTGTTAATTTTGATGATGATTCAAGAACACAAAGACTTAAAGTGTTGAAGACTTGTTTTGTATTGTAATAACTCTGTTTCAATTAGATTGAGTCTGTAATATTAGATTTTAAGATAGCCAGTACATAGTCTGCACCTTAGAAGCTTCAAAAAGCTCAAATTTATCATCCAGGCTCGGCTTTAATCGATTAAATAGGGAAATAATTGATTAAAACAGTGAGAAAAATCATTTTCTGTAAAAACTCACTGGTTTAATCGATTAAACCAACTTTTAATCGATTATCAGGCGGTTTAATCAATTAAACCACCTTTTAATCGATTAAAACAGAGAGGTTTGGGTTCTGTTGATAATTGACTCTGTTTTAATCGATTAATACTTCTTTTAATCGATTATTTCAGTCAGATTTTGATTTTTAACTTCAAATCAAACCTACTTTCGAAAACCCTTTTCCCAAGAACCCTAATTCCGAAATTCCTAATTCCCAAACCCTAATTTCTCTACTTAAACTCTTCTATGGCACTCAGAAAATAAGAACAACCTTTTTCATACAAAAGTTAAGTGTTGTAGTGCCAAAGAACTGTTTGTTGCAAGAAAAAGGGGCTTTTGGAACCTGGTGTGGGCTAGAAGCGATAAGAATCACTAAGTGGAGTTCTTAGTGGATTGTGTGTTGTGCCGTCTCTGGGAAAATTTGTTCTTCATCTCTTGTGGGTTTCAAGAGAGGTGTTATCTTTAACTTTATCTTTTCCATTGTAATTTGTATTGTAACAATTTGATTATAGTGACAGCGTTAATCCTCTCTTTGAGTGATTAGCAACTGGACGTAGGGTCTTTTGATCCGAACCAGTATAAATCTCCTGTGTAAGATTCTCTTCTCTTCTCTATTTACATTTACACAGTTTTTAATCGGTAAAATTTGGGGAAAATTTTGAAAACCTAATTTTTATTAAGAAACCAATTCACCCCCCCCTCTTGGTTTTTGTCCGACCACGCGAACATTCCGCTGCGCGATTCTAACAAGTAGTATCAGAGCTTGCTTTGATAGTCATTCAAATTTTCGAAAATGGCCGGACAAAATCAAACTTTTGCCGAAGGTGTGTCTATCAACAGACCCCCACTTTTTGCGGTATGCAAATATTTTTAGAGTCTGTTGATAGAGGCGTTTGGGACGCTATTTTAAATGGTCCATTTGTTCCTAAAGTTACAGAGAACGGTGTTGACGTTCTTAAACCTTTTTCTAGATGGACTGCAGAAGAAAATAGAAAAGCACAATTTGACGTTAGGGCTAGAAATATAATTTCATCTGCTTTAATCCTTGATGAGTTTTACAGGATATCAGTTTGTAAGAGTGCTCAAGAAATGTGGGATAAACTAAGAGTAACTTATGAAGGAACCGATGATAGTGACTCGATTTCGGAGTCAAGTGATCTGGAAATAGAAGCTAATATTTGCTTGTTGGCAAAAGACAATATATCTTCCGACTTTGAGGTTAGTGATTCCGACTCATCCTCAAGTGATGATGAAAATGATTTTGATGAATTACAAAATGCATATAATGAATTGTTTAGTGCCTTTAAGGACTTGAAAAATGAATACAAAGCTGTGAAAAAGAGTTTAAGTAGTTCCAAAAAGGAGGTAGAGTCCTTAAAAACGAAAATTATATGTTTAGAGGAAAAGGAGTCATTAAAAACGAAAATTGCATGTTTTGAGGAAAAGGAAACCTTAGAAACAAAAATTGTATGCATAGATGAGAATAATGATAAGAATATAGTATGTGCATCTTGTAAAGAGTATGAGTATGACATAGATATACTTAATCATCTACTTGATAAAGTCGAAAAGGAATTGAGTAATAATAATAAAGTTGTTGTAACTCAAAATAGTGTAAATGATCAAGTTCCTTTGAAAAATCCTAAAAGGAAAAATAAAAGAGTATGGGTAGAAAAAGGAACTAGAACATCTATGGTTAAAGATTCATCATATTCAAAAGTTACATCAAATGCATGCTTTTATTGTATGAAACATGGGCATACCTCAAATAGATGTAAAATTAAACATTTTGGTGTTCCTAAAGGAAAATATATTTGGGTTCCTATAGTTAAATGAATTGT